CTTCCTCCTCCTCCTCCCTTCCTCCTCCTCCTCCCTTCCTCCTCCTCTTCCTCCCTTCCTCCTCCTCCTCGGGGTTCCTCACACCTGCCTGGCCGTGGAAGATCCTATGCAAAAATCCAAGCAGAAAGAGAGAGAAAAACGCTACTGCCGCCTCCCTTCAGCCCCTTTGGCCCTTTTGCTCTTACTGCTTCCCCCTCATCTTTCCCTCAGCTGGGACTCCAGCAGCCTGTCCTCAGAAGATGCAGAAGTTTTTACTCTGCCGCCTGCTCAAAACACGCTCCGTTCTTAGCTTTCAGCCAGCTGAGGGCCACAGGTCTGGAAATGCATTGGCTGCTTCTTCGGGTGATGAAAGAACGACTTAAAACTCAGCCTGGTGTGTCTGTGTGTCTGTGTGTGTGTCCCCGTCCATACCGTGCACGCCAAGAAAAGTGACAAACATTCAAATCCCCAAACGGAAGGAGGCGTGAAGACTTTCATCTTACTTCTTCTGGAGAAAGGCAGCCACCTGAGATTTCCTGAAGCCGTCCAGGTGGTAGAGGCGAGCTGCCAGCCTCTGGGCTGCGGCCAGGTCTCCCGAGGTGCCGTTTGCCAGGAGCAGGCTGCCATTGGCTTCTGCGGAGACCTTGGCAGGCGGGCTCTGCCCCGTTCCGCCAAACTCCCCTCCAGCTTCTTCATGGCAGCTGCGGAGGGTGGGGAGAGAGAGAGAGAGAGAGAGACGGGGACTCTTGTCATAGTGCCAGAGAATAAAGGCCGACCCGTGAACGAAAGTCCCCACGAGGCAAGCCAACCCTCTGGTGGCTGCAGGATGGAAGCCCAGTCCCTCCAGGGAGCTGCGGGGTTGCATCCTGGCCCAGGCCCACCTTCCCACCTGAGCAGGAGGACGCTGCGCGGGGAGAGACGACCAGAAAGGCCAACGGCCCCAAGAGGCATATAAAACAAGAGCGTATCCTTACTGCAATGCCGGCTCTTCTCCTCTGCCTTTCGGCCTCCCGTCGCTTTGCATAGCTGGCAGCTCCACCATGCTGCATCTCTCGACTGAGCTCGGCGGCTTCCGCTCTGCACCACAGAGCGGGCTGGGGAGCACATCTGCTCCGCTGACGTCCTTCTGCGGGGAGGAAGTTCTTTCAGGCTCCTCTAGCCAGGTGCGGGGAGGCGAAGGAGGGTGGCCGCGGGGCGAGGCTCGTGGCTCCAACCTCTCTTGCTGCAGACTCTGCCCTGCAGCAGGAGCCGAGGGGACCTGGACGCTGGAAGGGACGCAGCCCCTCGTCCCTGGAGACGCAGGCCTGGCAGCGGGGCAGCTCTGCGTGGACTCTTGCAGCAAAGGAGACATCAGGGAAGGGCCGGAGGTGGAGAACAGCAGGCCTTCTGCCGGCAGATACCCAGGTGGAGGCGGCTCTGTACGTGGACCAGAGGGACAAGTCAGCCACAAAGCGGCTTCCTTCCCACACCTGGCAAGACCGCAGGGCATCGTCTGATGCTCTTGGGAAGAGCAGAGCGAGACTTACCTGGAGTGATGCTTTCCAGAACGTCCCCTTGGAGGGGATCCAGGAAACAGCCCTCCGCCTGGAAGGCAAATATTGGTAGTCACAAAAGGCTGGGAGAGCTTCTCTCTCTCTCTCTCTCTCTCTCTCTCTCTCTCTCTCTCTCTCTCT